TAGTACAGGGACTTTGGCTCGATTTTGGAGCAACTTTAAAAATTCATAAAAAATCCAAATTTGATCAGAATCAGTTTAAACTTTCTACACAACATACGTGTACATGTAAGTACTTGTATAATGCATCAGGAAAAATAATAAAAATGGAGAATTCTCTCCTTTGAATTTTTGGCAGAATTCCCCTGTACTACAGTACAGGGTGTTTGGTTGCAATCAGCGAACACTGAAATTACTACACTTGTACAATCTCTAGGGATACAATGCTTCGCCTTAGACCTCCTACTCTTATTGTACCACCACCTGTGAGTGGACTGGGAGTGGTTGGAAGCGGAGTAAACTTTAAAGAACTAGACCACCTGGACCTAGCAACAACACCAACACAGCAACAGTCAGCAAATCAAATGCAACTTGATACAGGAGGGTATGTGTTAATAACTACTAATAACCATTAAGAACTAACTACATGTATTTATATGTATATAACTATTTATAATTGCTAGGGTACGTTTAAGGTCTAAGACTTCATTACAGGTAGAGCGTGGGGCTATGCCTCGCCCAGTGTCACTAATGGGGACTAGAGGTGGAGCTAGTAATAATAATAGCCTTGACTTAAACTGGCCACCGAGTAAGAATTACATGCATAATTTATAAATACATATACATGTATAATTTATAATATACATGTATAATTATTCAGGTAATTGGACTGTTGCTCCTCAGGACTGGTTGGCCAGTGTTGCAGCTGGTAATATAACTAGATCTCCTTCTCCTCCTGACACTGAACTCCTCCCTCCTCCTCCCCCTCCCCCTCAATCATCTCCTTCTGATAACGGAAGAGGGAGCCGTTTGAGAAAGTCATACTCTAACCCAGATATGTGTCAAGTACATATCAAACAGCATTATATAAGTTGATTGTTTTCTCTTATAGCCATTACAGTTCCTTGATAAAATGGTAGTACAACCTGACATTACATTTAAAATATTAATCGTGGGTAATCCTCACGTTGGGAAGTCATGCTTCCTTACCCGTCTGTGTACAAATACTTTCACCACTAAATATGCCTCTACCATTGGTTAGTGACATGTACATGTATATTGATTGCTCTCTCCTCTGGCAGGTGTTGATTTTTATAGCCGTGCCTTAGTCATTGATGATAAAACAGTTGCTTTACAGTTTTGGGACACAGCTGGCCAAGAGAGGTACTGTAATGCATCCAAATATCCTTCATTGCTTCACCTTTCTCTTCATAGATTCCAGTCAGTGACCAAAGCATATTATCGTGGTGCCGACGGCGTCATATTAATGTACGATATTACTAGCGAAGAAACATTCATTGCAGTTAGGAAATGGATAAACTCAATGCAG